CTCCTCCTCCTCCTCTTTTTTCCTCATCCTCCCCCTCCTCCTCTTCTTGCTCCCCCATGCGTTCCCCGAAGTCTTTCCAAACCGACTCGGGATACAAATGGCTCGATAGGTTGGCCAAGCTCTGGCCCAGCTGTCGGCCACAGAGGCGCTTCCAAAGGGGCAGGGGGCGGCGGTGACTCGCCGTAGGCGTCTTCGATCCGCCGCCCCCTGTCGATTCATCGCAGGGGTGCCTGGCGTGCCAAATTATTTTGGTTTTAGTTTTGGTTCTTTTTCCAGAAGAGTCCCCCTGGGGCTTCGGCCCGTCCCGCCGGCCACCCCAAAAGACTGCCCGGCTTGCCCGGAGCTGGTTGCCAAGGGTTTTTCCTGCTCCAGACGGCTCCAAGACGGCCCAAGATGGCCTCCAAGACAGCCAACGTGGCCTCCAAGACGGCTCAGATGGCCCCAAGATGCCGCCAAGATGGCCCAAGATGCCTCCAAGACAGCCTGAGATAGCCTCAAGATGGTTCAAGACGGCCCAAGAGGCCCCCAAGAGCCCCCCAAGACGCCCCCGCGAGGTCCTCAAGGAGGGCCCGAGGAGGCCAAAATCATTGAATATCCATGGGTTTTGGAGGATTTTGGCTTCTGCTCCTTTCGGCCTTCCGACGACCTCAAGACGGCCCAAGAGGCCCCCAAGATCGCCCCAAAATCGCTCACGAGGCCTCCAAGATGGCACATGACGGCCCAAGAAGCCCCCAAGAAGGCCCCAAGAGGGCCCCAAGACGGCCCAAGAGGCCTCCAAGACGCCCAAGATGGCCTCCAAGACGGACCCGAAGCGCTCCAAGAGGGCCCCAAATTCGGTTCAGAGAGGCCCCCAAGACGGCTCCCGACGACGTCCGACGGGCCAGGAACGCCATAAGACGGCCAAAGAAGCCCCCGAGAAGCTCCAAAAGGGCCCCAAGAGGCCCTCAACAGGCCCCAAGAGAGTCCAAGATAACCCCAACATGGCCTCCAAGATGGTCCCATCGAGCCCAAGAGTGCCCCAAGAGGCTCCGAAGAGGCATCCTCCCCCTTTTCCTTTTTCCTCCTTCTCCTCCTCCCCTTCCTGCCCCCCGCATTCCCCGAAACCTTTCCAAACCGACTCGGGGAACACATGGTCCGATAGCTTGGCCAAGCTCTAGCCCAGCTGTCGGACGCATAGGCGCTTCCACAAGGGCAGGGGGCGGCGGTGATTCGCCGTAGGCGTCTTCGATAACTTGCACGAACGTCGCAAGCTCTTACTTCTTCTGGGGTCGGCGGAATGGCGGAAGCCACTTGATTACAATAAAATGGGAGGAGGAACCCTCGCCCTGGACGATCGAGGGGGTCAAATGCTCCGACCGAAGATCCTTAGAGCCCCATGCGCTCGAACATATCGAACATCAGGTTGTTCTGCGTTCTCGGCCTCTGGAGAAGGTAAAACAACACCTGGTGAAACGCTGGTCCCAGGGAACGGGTCCGCAGGTCCAGGGGTCAGGGGTCCGCGTCTCGAAATCGGAAGCCTGGGTGTTGACATGCACCCCGGAAAAAAAACAACTCAATCTGGCTATTACTATCCCCTCTCCTCCCCCATGCCTCGGCTCAATCGTGGTCCAGCCTCTTCCCTTCACACACAGGATCCCCACATCAGATTGAGGAGGCCGGACGGTCACTCACTGTCCCTGGGTGCGTGGCTCATGTAGGGTTCCGCGGTGCGGACTGCATTTTCAATTATTAATACTACATATACCTGATTCCCCGAGCCCTGGCACACCTATTAAAGTGCACCTCTCGGGGCTTGCATTTTTTGTTACACAGGAAACGATTACGACCAGGATTGGGTTGTCGGTCCCTGAACTACAACAACAACGGCTCCCGCCTAATACTTCCTCAATTGGAACATCGCGCTCTCGCGCGGGACTTCCTTACAATGTATGCAGGAATCGCGCTCGCGAGGAAGTTTCTCGCAATTTACTCAAACGCTGCGCCGCGCCCAACACTCAGGAATCACGCTCTCGCTGTAGTTCTTCCCACGATTTAGTCGGGCATCGCGCTATCGCTCGGAATTTCTTCGCGAGTCATGCAGGACGCACGCTTCAACAACCCGCCTGCTCGATTTGGCCGCCTGGGCCCGCCATGCCGACCCGCCCGTAAGGGTCTACCCGCCCGATCTGCCCGCCCGTTTCTGCCACGTGCTCGCTGCTCCTCGCCCCCTGCCCCCGCTTGTGCCCCATGATTTTCCTCACCCCCTCCATCCGTCGTCTGCGCCATTGCTCCAGGGGCTGCACCAACTACGCGTGGCAGACAAGGAAGTTACACCGTGATACCCCCGAGGGGGCACGGCCGAAGACGAAGAGGGCTGGTATCGAGGGCTTGGGATACGTGTACTTGCTGAATGACGCGCGAGCAGGTAAGAGCGAACAAGCTTCAAATGGTTGTACTTTTTACCCCACCGGTGCACATCGTCTGTTCCTTTGGAGTATCCCCCTCGGGACTCACACCCTGTTTTTTAGGAGAGCATATCTTCATGATCAAAATGCGTTGTGGGACCCCGACCTACAACAACAGCGGTTCCCGCCAGGTACTTCCACATAATGTAACTCAAATTCGCGATCTCGCGCGGGACTTCCTTACAATGCGTGCAGGAATCACGCTCTCGCGTGGTAGCTCCTTGCAGTGTATTCAGCCCGCGCCCTCGACGATCAGGAGTCACGCTCTCGCTTTGGTTGTTCTCACGATTTACCTGGGAATTGCGCTATCGCTCGGGACTCCCTCGCGAGTCATGCAGGATGCACGCTTCAGCAACCCGCCTGCTCGACCTGGCCGCCTGGGCCCGCCTTCCCGGCACGTCCGTTAGGGTCTACCCGCCCGATCTGCCCGTCTTGTGCTGCCACGTGCTTTCTGCTCCTAGCCCCCCTCCTGCTACTCTCTCTCGTGCTCCATCCTCCTCCATTCCCCCTTGCCCCTTACTTCCATCCGTCCTCCCTTCCCCTGCCGTAGGGGCTGCACGAACTACGTGCTGCAAGTAAGAAAACTATACCCCCAAGGGGTTTCGATCGAAAACGGACAGGGCGGGTATCGTGGGTTGGGGATGTACGCGTTGAGTGGCCCGCGAGCAGCGCTTAAATCGAACAGTCTCAAAATGATTGATGCTGTTGTTGACTTCTCATTTTCATAATCCCTCCTGCTCGGTAACCAGTCTATTCTTCACAAACAAAACAAAAGAAAACAAAACAAACGGGGCTCGCACACGGTCCTGCAAAAGGGAAATCCCACACCACGCCCGCCCCCTCTCTCTTATCCGCAACTGCGGGGCGCTACAGATCACGAAGCTACAGCAATGCTGTTCCAATCGGGGCGTCTTGGCTTTCCGAATGGCGTTCCCGACGCAACGGTGGCCTCGTTTCAGGATTGGCGCTCTGCTCGTGCTTTCGCCCCAGCGCGGGCCACGGTTCTGGACCCGATCCCTTCCTCCTTGTTGTCCTCTGCTCTCAGTTCCCCTCCAACGCCTTGCCTGGGTCCTCCTACCCATCCCGCTCATCTACTCCTGCTCCTGCCTTGCTCCTCCTTCCTCCTCCTGCTCATTCGCCACACCCTACTCCTCCAGGGTACGCAGCTCCTCTGTCGGATTGCGCATCACAGAATGAGGTCATTTGGGAGATCCAGGTCTGCGAGGACGCCCGTCGGCGGAGAGAGAAACATCAGCGCAGTGGTAATGGATGGGCAGGGGAGGTGTAGGACGTCAGGTGTGACGCAAGCGCTGCTTGACTCTGGACGCACCGCTTCTCTCTGCAACTCCATGGTTGCCTCGATTCCTCCACCTCCTTTCCCCTGAGCATGGCATCGGGCGCGCTTTCCACGACCGAGGCAAAATGATCGGAAGAAGTACCGTTTCTGCTCTTCGTCTTTTTCCTCTTCCTCGTTCTCCTCGTGTGCTCGTCCTCCTTCTCCTCCCCCTCCTCCTTCCCTCCCCTCGGCTCCACGCAGCAATGTTCTTAGGCGGGAGTGGCCTTTGGTGCGCTGCTTCAGGGGGCCGCGGTGGGCCAAACCCAAACGCGCCGCGCAGTGCCGGAGGGACCCATATGGGCCCGCACCAAAGATCACTTCGTCGAAGGCTAACTTTTGCGCGCGTTCGGCCCACGCCCCCCACCCCGCCACCGTCCCCCCCCCTCTTCCCTGCTCCCCCACGAAGACGAAAACCAGACGAGGATAACCTCCTGCGAGGATCAGCGGGGGATCTCTGAGAACCGGCGGGCCTGGAGGGTGTGTCGGGCGAGACGGCCGCTCCAGAGAACCCCCCAAAAATGCTCTGGGGGCGCTCCAGAACGTTCTGGAACGCTGTGTCCAGAGGCTTTCTGGCTGGGTTCCCAGCAGATGGGGTCGGAGGATTGCGCCGCATCGCCGATGTATCGGGTATGCTCCGTCGAGGCATCGGCGACGTCGGCGATGCCTCGGCGACGTCGGCGTGGAGAACATCGGCCTCCACGTCGAGCCGCATCGCCGATGCATCGGCGATGCGGCGCGATCCTCAGACCCTCCCCCCATTCTGGGAAGCCTGGACTGACGCGGGCCACCCCGGATCTCGGCCCCTCCCACAGGGCCGGCGTCTCGCCCTGAGCAAGTGTTTGACGGCCCCCGTGACGGGAAATGGCCTCTGGAGGCCGTATGGACGTGCAGACGCGCCTTCGCGGCTCGGCTGCCCGGCCCTCGGGCCCTGCCCCTCCATCTCTCGGAGCAGGGCGAGTTGAGACGTCGGCAGCTCAGAAAATCGGTCCCTGGGCCCCCCCCCCCCTCTCCGGGGATCCGAACGCGCACATGTTGGCCCAGCTGCGTCCAGCCGTCGCGACGAGGGCGCCCCCCGCACGCCAACAACCCTCGTCTCAACTCGCCCTCCTCTGCATCTCCTCCTCCACCTCCTCCTCCTCTCCTCCTCCTGCTCTTCCTCCTCCTCCTCCTCCTCCTCCTCCTCCTCCTCCTCCTCCTCCTCCTCCGGCGGGGCACAGAGCCCGCGAGCACTCTGCGCCGAGCCGCCGCATGGCACGGCGGCGGCCCCGCGCTGTCCGGCAGCGCTTCGGCCCCGTCGGCCGCAGATGCCGAGCGCGCGCTGCCCAGCGCTCGGGCGACAGGCGCGGTCGCTGACGCCCGGTGCGGAGCACCCCCGCTCTGGGACGCAGAAGGACATACAACCCCCAACAGCCCCTCCTGCACACCTCAATTATTTCCCTCCTCCTCCTCCTCCTCCTCCTCCTCCCCGCCTCTCCTCCTCCTCCTCCTCCTCCTCCTCCTCCTCCTTCTCCTCCCCCTCCTCCTCCTCCTCCTCCTCCTCTTGCCAGCCTGAAACATACCCCCATCCCTGTGATTGGAATCGCCCTGGCTCGGTGTCGACGTTGAGGATTCTCCCGGCTTCCGAAAGGACATCCCCGAGATTTCCTATCGTCTCAGGCACGTCGTTCTCAGGGATGGGGACAGGTTCGAGGCTGGGCAATGCTTGGACGTTCCCCTACCTTTACCAACCCTTGCCAAGGGTCCAAAACCTGGAGGGGGGAGGCCGGAACTCTGCTCTCAACTGTGAGGACGGCGGAGTGGCGTGAGACCCACAGGATCTAGCATCGCCTTCGTGCCGTCACTCCGCGCGGCCGCATGGCGACTGGGAGGTAGATGAGCTTGTTCACACCAACCGGCCTCGGAGTGAACACGGCACGCCAGAAAGACATTCGCTGGACCACACCAAAACAACAGCACGGAGTAACTACGCATGTTCTGGGGCAGGAGCAACCACGACGGCAAGATCCGACAGAGTAATAGAATCATGCATGCATATCCAACAGAGTACCAACAGAGTAATAGAGTTCTCGGACAAGTACCAACAGAGTAATAGAATCATGCATGCATATCCTGGGGAGCTTCAGCGCAATTGCGACGACATACCTACAAAACACGAACAGACCTAGAGGAGGACGAAGGCGAGCAGGGTAAGGGGGGAGGAGTAAGAGGACAACCGTAGGTAAGCGGAGATGGGGGTGGAGGGGGGGTGGGCAAGAAGGAAGGGCAAGAGAAATGACGAGGTAGATGATGAGGAGGAGGAGGCCTGGACGATAAGGAAAATGAGCTGGATGATCAGGAAAATAATGAATAGAAAAAGAAGAAGGAGAGCACGGGGATACTGAGGAGCAGGAGGGAGGAGCGAAAGAAGACGAATGAACAGCAGGACGAGGATGAGGAGAAGAGGGCGAAGAGGGCGGCGAGGAGCACAGCGTAGAGGGGACGAGGGCGGGGAGGAGCAGGAGCGCCTCCTCGCTGCAGGGGGGGGGGGCGGCGACGACCCGAGCCCACGGCCTACGATCACTCGCAATCCGAAGACAGTGGAGCGCGTGCTCTGGGCACGAGCAGGAGGCGGAGCAGGAGCCAGAGCAAGGCGGGAACCCGGGCCAGCGACAGGCCGGCCACATCGCAGGCGCAGAGGGTGCGCACAGGGCTGCTCCACGGGTGGGCTTCGAGCTTCCTGGCCTCCTCCTTACCCTCGGTCTGCCAGTGATTCTCACTGCACACCCACTGGCGCAAGTTCGACAGGGGCCGCCGTATGGAAAAGCATGGCGAGCGGAAGGACATGATCGCGCCCCATGATGATGATGATGCTGATGATGATGGTGATGCTGATGATGGGTATGATGATTACGATGCTGATTATGATGATGCATGATGGAATGCTGATGATGGTGCTGGTGATGTTGATATTGATGTTGTTGATGATGATGATGATGATGATGAGGATGATGATGATGATGATGATGATGATGATGATGATGATGGTGATGGTGATGGTGATGGTGATGGTGATGGTGATGATGACGATGATTATCATCATCATGCTGATGATGATGATTTTGTTGATGATGTTACGCGCCTGTAGTCCTGACCTCCTCGGCATGGCGGGAGCGGGTCCCGACGAGGGAAAGACCCCTGGGCCTTCCCCCAGGACGAGCTCTGCCTCCTGAGCCGCTTCTCTGACAGTCCTGGGGGGCGGGGGGCCTGTGGAGGGCCCCGAGAGCCCCTCCTCCTCTTCCTCCTCCTCCTCCTCCTCCTCCTCCTCCTCCTCCTCCTCCTCCTCCTCCCCCTCAGGGCCCGCTTCCCCCTTGGCGACTTCGTCTGGCCCAGCCGGACCACCAGCACTGGGGACTTGGGGTCGAGGCTCCAGGGGCAGCGGCTTCGACCTGGTCTAACTTAGGCGAGAAGGCCGACGAGGCCGACCAATTCAAACTTCAACATCCTGCCCGAGGCCGAGCGCAGGCTAGATCGCCCAGGGCCTCGAAAATGCCCGGGTCCACTGCGGGGCAGCACAGCACAGTCTCGAACAGACGGGGAGCAAGTTGCCCTCCAGCTCCCACAAACTACACTACACTACATCCGCCAAACCGTCCAGCAAAGCACCTTGCCATCACTCGGACGTCCATCCCCGTGTTTTTGTCACGGTTTCGTCGTCTATTCTTCGCGCGATGGTCCTTGCCGAGAAAAACACGTCCGAGCGATGCCCAGAGAAGGCTCGGAAGGCCGCAAGCCTTCTGAGAAGTGCCCCACGCCTTCCCCGAGGAGGCCCGAGGGTTTCTGAGAATCCCCGCCGCCTCCTTCTGTTCCCCTCCCTCGCTCGCCGCCGATTGTCCTCGCCCTCCGTCGTCCTCCTCCCCCCCTGCTCGCACCATGGGGCAGGCCGACACCAGTCCTGCCCCTTCGATCCCGATGCCCGACGTGCGTGGCCCAATTTCCCGATCGGTCCGTGGACTGCCGACCACCTCAGTGGGGGCGCGACTTTTGCGCGCAACCCCTTCTTGGCGGCGCGCCAAAAGGGGGGAGGGGGGAGGGGGGGGGGTCTTAGAAGCACCCCTGCTTCTTTCGGGAGCGGTCAAGAGGGGGGTGTCCAAGAGGGGGGGGGTGCAGATCATGACCGGCGGCACGTGCGCGGCCCAGCGGGGGGGCCAGGGACGTTCTGAAATGAGAAGGGGCGCCATGGAATCTGGGGAAGCATCGTGGCCCCCGCCATGAGATCCCCCCCCCCCCCTATAGTCATCACCCCCCTCCCTGCCGCCCCCGATGCTTCGAAGGCGCTGCCCCCCGCGGGCCCCCGTGGCCGGGACGGACCCGTGGCGCGTGGGAGGGCTTCGGCCGTGAGCGCCCCCGCGCTGGGAGCCGCCGCCGCGCCGAGGCGGCACGAGCATGCCGTGCGGCAGCCCGTTCTGGGCGGCGCGCGCAAGAGAGGGAGTTTTGCGGGACTGTTTCTTGTTCGCGCCGCCTTCCAGCCGGCCGAAAAAGAAGCAGTGGTTGTGGTCATTTCCCCGGTGCCAGGCTCGACGAAAATGGCCACAGCCACTGTTTTGTTTCTGCGGGCTGGAAGGGGGCAACAAAAGAAAAGCAGTGGCTGTGGTCGTTTTCGCGCCCCGCATTTTTGTTGGAGGGAAGAGGTGGAGAAGCGGACAGCAAAGATTCACGCAACCAGGCCTCCTCGCCAAACGCGCCGTCAGCAAAGCAGGCCACCCCCCCGCAGGATGACGCTGCGAACGTGGCCGATGGCTGACAACGGAAACAGGGGGTAGGGAATCTGTGGGGGTATGTGGGTGGCGGGGAAGGTCTCCTGGAAGGAGGCTGCTTCTTAGAAGGCGCCAGCCCCACACCTACTGACAACGACCCTCGCCTTCTGAGAAGCAAGGGTGTTGTTCAGAAGCCTTCCTCCCTCCCCTCCATCCCCCCCCTCCGCCCGTGGCCGCTGCTTTCCACCCAGCGTCGGTCCCTCGACCCTTCCTGGGTGCCCTCTCCTGGCCCGCGGCCAGAAGAGAACGCCCGCCGTGGAACCGAGGGCGGCGCCCGAAACTGTCAGGGGCTGCCGCCCCTGGCCCTCGGGCGGCGGCCTGCGCGCGATTCGCCCCCCAAGTCGGCACCGCAGGCGCGCGGCCCTCCATCCGGGTGCGTCGTTTCCCTGGCCGCCCTCCGCCGAGGTCGCGCGGGCGGCCGCTGCCGCTTCGCCTTGCGGGGCGGGGGAGAGGTCGGCGCCCACGCCTTTTTTCTCAAACAAGCGCGAAGAAGCCCTGTGGCACGAAGAGAGGGGCGAGGGAGGAGAGGGAAGGAGAGGAGGTGAAACACGTCGAAGCAGTTCAGCCCGGACCTGCTGGCATTGGCCTCAGTCTGGTGGCCCGGCCTCCGTTCCCACAGATCCGCGTGCGTCCACTCGCGGGGGGGGGGCGCTCAAACATGTTTTGTATTGCTTTTTGGCCAGGTGATCCAGCGCGGCGAGTGCCAGAGCGGGGCATGCCCAGATTGACCACCGCCGAACGTCATTCGGTGGGTGGTCAGAACGTGGATAGCCCGTGCAAAAAAAACGATAAGGCACACACACACACACACACACGGCAGTAGCGTGGCCGTGGTGTGTTGTTGGTGCCGCGTGGCTAAATCGAGTCGGCGCTGGTGGTCTGTACGGGGTCTCATGCCGTTGCTGGCGCCGGGCGCCGGTAGTCGGTGCTTGGCTGTCACTGGTCGGTGGTCGGGTGGTCGGCTCCTGCCAATGCTACGACGGTGTGGGTAGCTATTTGGCACCTCGGGTCATCATATGATAATTGTGGCGAAGGCGCTCCCGAGAGGTTCACCATGACGTATTTGTCGCCGATGTGAGCCATCTCGCGTCGCCGGTGTCGCGGTGGAGGTGTCGTCGTGGTTGGGTGGCGTCGCTGGTGTCGCTCTGTGCGCTGTACGATATACGATGTGCAGAAATTTGCGCACATCATCGTCCCAACGTTTGTGCTGGCCGCCGGGTTGTCGGTATCCCGTTTGCTTCGTGTCCACAGTAGGATTCCAACTCAGTCTTCGCTGCGTCTTCCTGTTGGGTGGGTGGGTGGGTGGCTACACGTCCTTCAACGCGTCTTGCCATTTCGTGATGCATCTGTGTCACGTGTGGGATGGCGTGCGTGTTCATGAATTCCTCAGAGCACACAAGAGCACGCAAGTGCAAATGCTGATGGCACTGGCCAGCGAGGCAGGCTCAAAACCGGCCAGCCAAACAGGACACGAACTCGAACGACAAGGGACCAGCAGGACAAGGTCAAGGAAGGCCAAGCAAAGTGAAGAGAGAAAACTCATGACACACACACACACAAAACCACACACACACACACGCACACATTACGCGTCGCAGCACTGCAGAGGCGATCCGCACGCGCGCTCTAGTGAGCTGGGCTGGGGCACGCACTCGTTGGCCGGCGGGAAGCGGGGGGGGAGGGGGGGAGGCGGAGCGCGGCCGCGGAGGGCGGGAAGAGGAGGGCGAACACTCAACAGCATGAAGAACTCCGCATGGGGCGGCTGGGGCGGCCAGCTTGAACTGAGGCAGCCTGGCAGTGGACGCGGGGCGGCATCACGGCCACACCCAGGGGCTGGGGCGCAGGTACACACATTCACACACACACAGTCACACACAAACACACACACACACACACATCCGTAGCCATTTTGGCTCAAGCCATTTTGGCTCATGCCAGCCCTGGTGCCAGGGTGGGCAGGCGCGCGCCGTGCCTCTCCTCCTCATAGGAGAGAGCGGCTCTGTCCTGCTCCCCGTGTCGCGGCCCCTGCGATGGCGGCGACGCGCGACAACGGCAAGGGGAGGCTCGGGGGGCCGCCCGCCCAGGGGCGGGCCAGCAGCAGGCGGGCTTTGGAGAGCCAGACCATCGGCCCGTCGGCGGCGCGGAGGGCCGCGAGGCGACGGCGCCAGCTGGCCTGTGAGGCTGGGTTGCGGCGGTGGATCGCCGAGGCCGGCGTGCCGGGGTCCTGGCAGGACCGCGAGCGTGCAGCCAGTCCTGCCTTGCGACTCGCAGCGGCAGGCGCGCGGGTGCCAGGCAGCGCCAGGCGTCGCAGGAATGCGGCCTGGCATGCTGCGGTGGCGCCCAGGGCGGGCTTCGCGCAGGCCTGCGACGCCGCCATCTCTGCGGCGGCGAGCGGCCCTCGGCTGGGCGCGGGCCCCTTCGGCGCCCCCTGCGGCGCCAGCCAGGGCCAGGTCGTTTGGGAGCTGGGCAAGGAGCAGAGCGACCAGGTGCAGCAGCTGACGGCCCAGCGCGACACGCTCATCGCGCAGGTGCGCATGGCTGTGGCGGACCGCGAGGGGATGCAAGTCCGCGTCTCCCTGCAGAGGCGGGACGCCGCGGCGGGCTTGGAAGCTCAGGCCACCCTCGTCGAGCAGACGGTGCACGAGGTGCGGCGCCTCACCGACGCGCGGCTCCAGCTCGAGAAGCAGCTGGAGGCGGACCAGGCGGACTGCCTCAGCGCGCTCGCGCGGACTGAGGACGGCTATCTTTCACCAGCTGGCGGTGCAGCTGGACGAGCTGGAGTCGGTGAAGAGCCAGTGCGACAGGCTCAGGGAGCAGCTGCACGACGCCGTGGCGCAGTGCCAGGCGCAGAAGAACGTCGTGACGCTGCAGGCGCTGGACATGAGCAGTTCCATGCCCGTGCACGCCACCATGGTGGGCCTGGACGTGGCAAAGGATGAGGACCAGGGCGCCTCCCAAGGCACGGACAGCAGCATGGGGCAGCACGTCAAGCAGCACGGGGCCTCCTTCGCGCGGGTCGGTCTTCGGCATGCGGACGTCTCCTTCGAGGTGGACTTCGACGGCCGATTGATCATCGGCGCGCACATTACGGCGGAGGTGGGCTCCCAGGAGCGGATCTTCAACTTGCTGGAGGGCGGCTGCGTGGTGGTCCCCCGTCGGCGCGTGCGGGACAGAGCGTTGCCGACTGCCTGGATCACCGCCGCCGCCTCGAAGGAGCAGAAGGCGCCACGGAGCGGCCAGCCCTTCGCGAAGCGCCTCGCTGCTCTCGCGGATGAGGTCGAGTGCATCAAGTTCGAAGTGTGGGACTGCCCGTGCCAGAAGTGCCAGGCCATGGCACAGAAACCCAGGCCCCGACGCAAGCCCCGAGCGCGGGTTTAGATCGTGCAGCAAGAGTGCCAGCTGCGTGGATGGCCTAATGATCGTGGCAGCGGGAGTGCCTGCTGCATGGATGGCCTCACGGAGTTGGGATGGCCGTTGCGCCTTTGCCTCACGCGGGGAGCGGGTTCCGCATCTGAGGGGCCCCAGCGGTAGAGAGGCTGCCCCCCCTTGGCGCGGTGTCCGCCGTGGCTGAGGGGCCTGAGGGGCGGTCCGTCCCTTGGGGTGCCTGGGCCCGCATTCGCCGTTGGCGGGGCCTGGGCGCGGCGCGTGTTCTCGCTTTCAGCCCCCCTTGGCACCAGGCTGAGGGGCATAGGGTGGGGCGCGGCCTCGAGGGGGCCAGCGCGCTCTGCACCCTGGGGAGTCGGCGGGAGCGCTGCCCGCGGCTCGGCTCCCTCGGTGGCTCGGCAGGCGACGGACGGTCGCTCGAGGGCCCAGCGCACGGGCCTGGCGAGGTGTGGACGCCCCAGGCTGCCGATGTACCAAAGCACCAAAACACACACACACATGTGCGGCAGGAGGCGGGATCAGTGGCAATTTTGCAAGTTGCAAGGGGATAGGCTCAGGGGGGGCTGCATCGACACCCCATCGCCCCTTGATCACCGACTGGGGCCCGATAGCCCAGACCGCCCAGGAACGTGCGGCTGCGCTATCGGGGCCTAGCGCCAATCTATCGGCGGTGTATCGCGGATCCAAGCTCGATGATTCCACCCCTGCGCTGATCCCCCAACATTGCCCCGCACGGAAGGGTGAGCAGGACACAGTCGAGCTCACGAGAGAGGACGCAAGACCTTTCTGACGGCCGCATTGCCATCGGCACGTAGGAGGCATGGGTCGCTAAACACAGGACAGGACGATGGACAGGGCCGACCTACTGATCAGACTCGACTGCACTGACAGATTGCGCAAGATCTGAGGGCAGCTGGCTTGACAACGACAAAAGGCGCACCTCTGCGGGCGAGTGAAACGAACCCCGTGCGCGCTCCTTTGCCATCCATCCCTGGTCCCAGGGTCGCCCGCGGACGGGCCGCCTAAGACAAGCATCCCAGTGCGACCCTACCTAAGAGTTGGAGCCCCTAGGAAGCAGCAGTCGTAGAAACAGCAAAGCTAAGCTAAATCTAAGATAAAGCTAAGCTGTTAAGCTAAGCTAAAGCTAAGCTAAAGCTAAGCTAAAGCTAAGCTAAAGCTAAGCTAAAGCTAAGCTAAAGCTAAGCTGAAGCTAAGCTGAAGCTAAGCTGAAGCTAAGCTAAATCTAAGCTAAAGCTAAGCCAAAGCTAAGCTCAAGCTGAGCTAAAGCTAAGCTAAAGCTAAGCTAGATCTAAGCTAAAGCTGAGCTATAGCTGAGCTGCAGCTAAGCTGAAGCTGAGATACAGATAAGATACAGCTAAGCAAAAGCTAAGCTACAGCTAAGCTGACACTAAGCAACAGCTAAGCTAAAACTAAGCTAACGCTGAGGTAAAGCTGAGCTAATGCTAAGCTAGAGCTAAGCTGAAGCTAAGCTACATCTAAGCTACAACTAAGCTAAAACTGAGCTGAAGCTAAGATGAAGCTAAGCGAACGCTAAGCTAAAGCTAAGCTAAAGCTAAGCTACAGCTATGTTAAAGCTAAGCTAAAGCAAAGCTATAGCTACGCTACAGCTACGCTAAAGCTAAGCTAAAGCTAAGCTAAAGCTAAGCTAAAGCTAAGCTAAAGCAAAACTAAAGCTGAACTAAAGCTAAGCTAAAGCTGAGCTGTAGCTAAGCTTTAGCTAAGCTACAGCTAAGCTACAGCTATAACTTAGCTACAGCTAAGCTGAATCTAAGCAACAACTAAGCTAAACCTAAGCTAAAGCTGAGGAAAATCTGAGCTAAAGCTAAGCTAAAGCTAAGCTAAAGCTAAGCTACAGCTATGTTAGAGCTAAGCTAAAGCAAAGCTAGAGCTACGCTAAAGCTAAGCTAAAGCTAAGCTAAAGCTAAGCTAAAGCTCAGCTAACGCTGAATTAAAGCAAAACTAAAGCTGAACTAAAGCTAAGCTAAAGCTGAGCTATAGCTAAGCTAAAGCTGAGCTGTAGCTAAGCTTTAGCTAAGCTACAGCTAAGCTGCAGCTATAACTTAGCTACAGCTAAGCTGAAACTAAGCAACAGCTAAGCTAAAACTAAGCTAAAGCTGAGGAGATTCTGAGCTAAAGCTAAGCTGAAGCTAAGCTGAAGCTAAGCTAAACCTAAGCTAAAGCTAAGCTACAGCTAAGCTAAAGCTAAGCTAAAGCTAAGCTAAAGCTAAGCTAAAGCTAAGCTACAGCTAAGTTAAAGCTAAGCTAAAGCTAAGCTAAAGCTAAGCTAAAGTTAAGCTATAGCTAAGCTGTAGCTAAGCTAAAGCTAAGCTAAAGCTAAGCTAAAGCTAAGCTAAAGCTGAACTAAAGCAACACTAAAGCTGAACTAAAGCTAAGCTAAAGCTGAGCTATAGCTAAGCTAAAGCGGAGCTGCAGCTAAGCTAAAGCTAAGCTAAAGCTAAGCTAAAGCTAAGCTTAGCTGGGTGAACCCAGGGGGCGCAACTGGGGGAACCGCGGGGCGGGGACTGGGGGAACCGCCCGGGGCGATTTCTACTGCCCAGCCCATGTAAGAAAGAGAGTAAGAACCCTCTAGGCAGAGCCTAGGTAGGGAATAAACCTGAACTAACATGAAGCGAAGCTAAGCTAAGATGAAATAAGCTAAGCTAAGATGAGATAAGCAACGCTACGCTAAGGGGACGTAACTGAGGGAACCGCGGGGCGGATACTGGGGGAACCGCCCGGGGCGCTTTCCAGTGCCCGGCCCCTGTAAGCCCAGAAAGTAAGAAGCCTTCTGGGCAGAGCCTAGGTAGGGAATCTTCACCGAGGGGGGGAGGGGGAGGCGGGGGGGCAGGAGGACGAGGAGGAGCAGGAGAAGAACGATGACAAGGAGCAGCGGGAGTTTGAGCGGGACGATCAGAGAGCAGGAAGACGATCACTCACAAATCCAATCAACGGAACATGAGCAGATCGTGCAAACATGTGATGCAACCGCTAGAGTATAACCCTGTGCACTTCCGCGAAATGGGACCAGGCAGTGCACTGCGGCCAAGAACTGTTGCATCGCGTCGCCGCGGCGGCCCCGGCGGATAGCGTGTCGCCCCGCTCCGCGGGGCGGCAGGCTCGGAAGATGCTCGGGACGTTGAAGCCGGGGGAATGGGGCAGTGGACAGCGTGTCGCGCAGAAGCGTGGTGGGTTGGGACCGGCGGGCCGACACGCTATGCAAACATTCCCGACCATTGATGGTGCGCATGGCTGTACACAGGCAGTGCGGCAATGTGCGGAGACAGATAATGATGTACTAGGAACCACGGAGTGCAAATATTCCAAGCTTGAGATGATGACCCATCCGCTGGGGAGTCTCCTCCAGGAGTGGGCCCGATCAGTTTAACACTTGTTTCTCCTCCTCCTCCTCTTCCTCCTCACCCTCCTCATCCTGCTCTCCTTCCTCCCCCTCCTCCTCCGAGCTGCAGTGCCGCCGTGGTTGGCACCTTGGTACGAAGCCAGAGTTGGTCACTTCACTAGCTTCCGAAAAACATGTACACCCAATGAGTCTCAGAAACACGAACGGCGATCCTCAACACTGTACCTTCGTTCTTGGTGGTTGACATGGGAGCACTACAATCAGCTGGTGAACAAGTCAGCCGGTGAAGGGTCGCAACACGAATGGTGAGGGGGACGGGATGGGACGCGAGGGGGGAGGGAGGCCGGACGGACGAGGAGGATACAATAAGAAAGATACAGTCTGCATCGAGAAAACCGCCAGCCCCCTTGTGGGGCCACCAGGCTGTAGGCCCAGGGTTTGCTGTTCCCTGCGCCAGTTCCAGTTTCCAGTTTCCACTGTTACAGTATTGCTTTATGCTGATTACTCTTCCTTGTTGATGGACCGCGCGAGGGGGGGAGACGAAAAGTGCCCTGGTCAGCGTCTCCCGGGAGAGTTCTCAGAAATTCCGGAGGAGTCGAAGTTGACACCCCTCACGCAAATCGGCGGGGTCAGGGCCCCAAAAAACACAAAGGATTTGCCACGGCAAACCCAGGGTGCACCAGCTTCAGCACACCCTACCGTCCAAGCCCCCTCCTCAGAAGACTCTGCAAGCCTTCCGCTTCACTAGAAAAAAAACCCTTGAAGGGTAAGCACCATGTGGTGCCTGCCGCTCACAAGGAACTGCCACGCATCGCTGCAGCGAGAGATAAAGAACGCTAAAAGGAAGGTCGCTAAAGGATTTGCCACATTTCTCAAATTCGGAGGCACCCCTCGCGCAGATCGGCGGGGTCAGGGTCCAACAAAAACACAAAAAAAAAAATGCCATATTTCTTAAATTCGGCGGCAACCCTCGCGCAGATCGGCGGGGTCAGGGTCCAAAAACAGAAAGAATGTGCCACATGTCTAAAATTCGGCGGCACCCCTTGCGCAGATCGGCGGGGTCAGGGTCCAAAGACACTAAGGATTTGCCACATTTCTTAAATTCGGTGGCACCCCCCACGCAGATCGGCGGGGTCAGGGTCCAAAGACACTAAGGATTTGCCACATTTCTTAATTCGGTGGCACCCCTCACGCAGATCGGCGGGGTCAGAGTCCAAAAACGCAAAGGGATTTGCCACATGTCTGAAATTATGTGGCACCTCTCTTGCAGATCGGCGGGGTCAGCGTCAAAAAACACATGGGAATTGCAACATTTCCTTCGTAGAAAAGATTTTTGCATAGCATACGCGAGAAAGCTCGAAATACAGCACCGAATTCAACAGTAGCATCATAATCTCAATTTGTTCTGCCGATTACTCATCGTCTCCGCGTGAAGCCCCGACGCTGCTCCACGGCGGCGCCAAGGCATCATGGTTTCACTCTTGCAGTACCCGTTCTTCGAGAGAGAGGGGGCCGGCGGCAGGGGGCGACGCCCTTACGGATCCGAAGGAGCGCCATATATAGGAGGAGCAGGAGGGCGAAGACCAGGAGCACCGGGAGCAGGAGCGGCAGAGACGTAAAGAGGAGGAGGAGAAGCAGCAGCGAGAGCAGAACGCGGGCATGATCGAGAGGAGGAGGAGGAGGAGGAACCTAAACCTGAACCAGCCTCGGATCTCCGCTGAATCCCATCGACTACACGAATCCTTCGCCTCACTGCCTGGTCCCATGTGGGATCTAGCTGAGATTACTTCATAATATGTCACTTCGCTTCGAGAGCCTGCTGTCGCCAACTGGCGATCTGGCCCAACCGCATTTCGTCCCAACGCAGGCAACGCTCGTTGGAGTAGCACTTGCTCAAAGTAACTGACGGCCACCGCGACTTGCCCCTCGGCCCTTGCCCTCTCCCCCGCTGCGCCTCCCGCCCCCCCTTCCTTTCGGGCCTTGGCGCTGGGGTCGGTGAGTGAGGAACTAGCAGGGGGGAGCCTCGGACAACAATTGACTCCAAAACAGCATGTGGAAGGGGTCGGGAGGGGGGAATCTACCTGCACGACCTCGTTCCCGAAACACGGGCACTGTCTGCAAAAGCTGCGGGGATGGGGAACGAGAAAGCTGGGCTGCCGCTCGAGCCCCTCGCGCTCCTCACTGCAGAAGACGACCGATGTGCCTCTCCAAGGCCGCCCTCGGCGCCGCCCCGCACTTGCGTCTCGCTCTCTGGGTCATGGCGGCGGCCGCGAGAGTGTTCCTGACCGCCGCGCAATCTGGATGAACGCAAAACTGCGCCCTGCACTGCTCCTTCCCCTGGGCGGCCTTGCCGGCGTTGCGCTTCGCGTGGAAGATCGCGACGGACGCGCGCGGGGCCTTGTGATCTGGCTGCAGCGCGACCTCCTGGTAGTGCCTCTGAAGTTTCTGCTGGGGCTCGCCTGTTGCATCTCGCCCCAGCTTCTGCGCCACTTTCTGCCGCGCCACCAACTAAGAGGGGCCCATCGAGTCCGCGCCCGATCTCGTCGGCCCCGCCATCGCTTTCAGCGCCTGCGCTTCCGCGTTGTAGTCCGCCTTTGGTATCCCGAGTTCGTTCATAAGCGTGGGAGGTTCCCTCCCGACGGGGGTCGGCCTCGCCTCCTCGGCGCGCCGCGAAGGGGGTTGGAGCGCCTTCGGCGCACGGCGGTTGTCCGCGACGGAGGTCGATGTAGGGCTGTCGGCGGGGGTGGCGCCGCTCCCACGCTTATTAACGAACTCGGAGTACCGTCACCTCTGAACCTCTTGGAGATCTGCTGACCCAGGTCAATCCAGACCCGGGTCCGTCAGGCTTCGCAGGAGATCCTGCAAGACCCAGCAGGCTCCAGCAGGACCCTGCACCCAAGCCTGGGTCAATGCAACCCTGGCTTCGCAGGATCCAGCGAGATCCGGCGCTCTGACTAACCCCCGTTTGCAGTGACCCCCGTCTCACTGACGAAATTAGCGACCGTACGCCGCGGACTAACGCGGGCCGCCAAGGCGCGGAACGATGCATGGGAGACAAGGTCGCTCACGCGCGACCTATTACACGGAAAGCCTGCGCGCGAATGTCGGCGCAGACGACCCCGTTTTCTTGCGTCGCTCACGTTCAGCTGCACGCAAGAGCGACCCTGGGTACGAGTGACCTTTGGTGCGCGGCTCGTCGGTAGGGGGCCACATTTTAACCCTACCCCTGCCCCCCACGATTTCTGAGGGGGAGGGTGGGGTTCACTTTGTTCGGGAGCTCCCGAGCGAAGTGAACCCCACCCTCCCCCTCAGAAATCGTGGGGGGTTGGCATGTGCCCCCCACCCAATTGGGGGGCCGGCGACCCAGATCCATGCTCGATGGCCCCCAGGGCCCGAGCACGGGCCGCGGAGGCCGCGACCCCGCAAAAAAACCGCCGGACCGCACAGCAGCACCTCCATCGGACCTCGGGGCCCCCGGCGCCGGAGAGCCCCGACGGGGGCCCGCCTTTGAAGGCCACCGGCTCTCCGACGCCCGGCCCCCCGCGGGCGCCCAGGCCCCCCGCGGGCGCCCCCGCCCCCCGCGCGCCTGCCGGCAGGCCGGGGGGCGCGGGCCGCCGAGCCGCCCCGGGATGCCACCGTGCGGCGCCCCTGCGGCGCGTGCCTCCCCGCCGCCGACCTGCGCGGCAGGCGCTCGAGCGGTTCGAGCGGGGTCTCGCCTGCAGAACGGAAGTTCACACCAGCACGTGAGCTTCTCGTCGAGTCACGCGTAGAAGGTTCGTAGATCTACGAACGGTCTGCGCATGTCTCATGGGCTCGACGAACAGGTCAGACCTGGGGTAAATCAGTGCTGTAGGCGATCCCCTACTCGAGCGGTGCCACTCCCAGAACGGCCTGCCCCGCTCTGCTTCCGCCCCCAGTCGGTTATTGCTAGAAGTGCCCCCCCCCCCCCCCCCCTGAGATCCTGGCGTTGCATTTTTCACAGCGGGCGTTTTCGCCCGGTTTCGGGCCCTGGGACCCTCACATCTCGATCCGCCTCGAAAAATGACGCAGAAAGATGGGGTCTAGGGCTCTGGTCGTGATTTTTCACCAGGTTTCAATTTTTTCGAGACGTCGGATCTCAGGGCTGGCCCCAGGTGCCCCCAAGATTCCCAGGGAAGCCCCAACGGCCTCCGGGGCATCCCTCACGAGGCCCTGAGGGCCCCAGGCCAGGTGCTGAAAAATTGAGCCACGAGTTGGGGGCACCTTGGGCCAGGGGCACCTGTCGAACCCCCGACCCCCTGACTTCGGATCCGCCGTACATCTTGGGCGTTTTTGCAGGTGGGGCGGGAACTTCTGCCCTAACTCTCAAGCTCCTCCGCTGCCGATTTCCGCCCATCTTTGCCGTCGCTCGTTCCGCCATGCCTTTGCGGAAATATCCTCCCGACCTTGCTGACAAGGAAATGTCCGCCCTACTTTTGTTCGCATCGTTTCGGGCGCGTCTCCGATACGCTTGAAGTCGGGACATCTACCAAAGCACGGCGGATCCGGAGTAGGGCCGCAGACCTGTGCGCCTCTCCTGGGACCGCCTGCCCCGCTCTGCGCTGGCCCGCCGGCCCCGCTCGAACACGCTTCCGGGCTGCCGGAGAGCGCCCTCCTCCTGGACTCGCGCTCGGCCTGGTTGCAGCAGTGCGCCTCCGCCGCGTAGGGTACTGCGGGCAAGGCCTGCGCCCAGCTCAGCTGGCCCAGGCCCGCCGGCGCCCGCGGGCGGGACCTCGTGAGCATCGTTGGACCGATGTCCATGCCCACTGTGACGATGACCTCACGAGCAGGGAACATATCCGTATCCACGACCTCGCGGTCTGGATTCAAGGGGGCGGTCCCACGGATGCGCGGTCGCACGGATACGTTCCGCGCGGGGCATCTGCGACAAAAACGCCCCGTGGAGTCGCGGCCCAAAAGCCCAGCCCGCGAGGCCGCGGGTATACATGCATAGCTATATTGATGTATAGAAAAACTCGAAACATATGTACATATGTCTATGTGCGTGTGTATGTATATATATAGATATAAAAATAGATTGGTAGCATCTCCCTTGGTCAGGTTGATTGAACAATGCGCGAAAATTGCATGACAACACATATGGTTTGACATATGGTTGGTTGCACCGTGAATTTGGATAGTCGCACAATGCTGGCCGATTTGCTCCTCCAACTGTAAAGCGACATCTGCGGCCACGAGCTCTGCATGAAAAGCGGAAAGCTCACTCTCAACGAATAGACCCTTGTACCCCCTCACTTCCCGCACCCACTCACCGCCATCAGATGTGTGTATGTGTATGTATGTGTGTATGTCTATATGTATGTGTGTATGTTTGTATGCATGTATG